TTACCCCTCTTCCAAGTCTGAAAGCTTTTCATGTGAGGGAAAGCAAGCACCAATGAGCAAGAGTAAAGTTTCTCTGCAGAACTCTGCTGCAAGAGACCTCTGCCCACCTGCTGCAGCTGTGCCTCAGAGCAGGGATGCTGCCACCCTTCACCCCACCTCCCGAGGGCTGGTGCAAGACTCACCACTCGGGGCTTCTGCTGGTCCAGGGTCTGCAGGAAGGCCGGGGTCTGGTCCAGGGTGCGCTCAGGGTCACTGGAGATGTCCTCCTCAGACTCCTCCCAGGACGAGGAGAAGCCAGTGGAAGACGCTGAGGATGATGAGAGCTTCCGGACAGGCAGGCTGCCAGGGGGCACGGCACCCACCTCCTCCTCTGGGCCCCCCAGGTCTGTGACAATGACGGCAGGGATGCTGCCACCGATGGCTGGGTGCTGGCCCTTAAGTCCTGTGGGGACCACCACCACCTCCTCTTGCCGTGGTGCAGGCCCTGACTGCTCCAGGGGGCTGCTGCTCTCTGCCAGCTCCACCATCATCACTGGCCTCCTGCAGGGCTCTGCAGTGCTCAGACAAACTTGCACCCCACCAGCATCAGGGGCCTCGCTCTCTCCGAGGGCTCGTGGCCGGGGTCCAGTTCCAAGTCCCACCACTGGTGCCGTGGGGCTGGCCGGACGGGACCGGGCCAGCCGGGGGCTCCGGGGTGGCTGGGAGGCAGAGCTGTGTGCCTGGATGTGTGCCTCGAAGAGCCCCACTTTCTGGTTCACCTGCACATTGTGCAGCTCCCGTTGAAGCTGCCGTGCCATGGGGGGTTCTGGCTGTCCCTCTTCACCTCGGCTGCCCCGCCGCCCCCCGGGGCTGCCTGGCTGCCGCAGGGGCTCCTCAGGTGGTGGGAAGAGGAAAGCGGGGCCACAGCGTGGGGAGCGGGGCGGCACCGGGGCCGGGCTGAAGACAGGGAGCGAGCCGCAGCTGCCGGGCGTCTCCGGACCCCTGGGCAGCACTTGTCCGGGAGGAGGCGGCGTCTTGCTCCGGCCGCTTGTCACCTCGCTGTTGCTATTCATCATCACCAAGCTATTGAGCGCATAGCAGTACACGGCCATAGTAGTCAGCCGGGGAGCACAGGGGGGCCGTCGCCACTGCCACCTCGGCACTCAGGCTCTGCGGGGCTGCCCTGGGTCTCTCCACGACGGGACCAGCAGCATCGCCAGCAGGAAAACGGGGAGCTGGGCTGGCCCCGGCCCGCAGCTTCATAAAACGGGACAGCTGAGGAGAGAGAAGCAGTTAGAGTAGTTCTGTGCCCTCCCTCAGCTCACCATCCAGCTGGGCACAGAGCGTGCCAGACTCTTCCCCTCCTGTGTGCCCCTCCCACCTGTATGCATCCCCAGTGTGTCACCCGTGGGAACACGAGCCAGTCTGGTCATCAGAAGGATCTGAGTGAAGGGGAAGTCAGGTTTGGGGCTGTTTTCCGTCTTCCCTGCCTTCCCTGCCCCCTCTCCAGGTTGCCTGTCGACACAGCTGCAGCAGCAGTGTCTGACAGGACACACAGCCAGCAACCATTCCCAAAACAGAATAAGAGAATTATGGTTAACTGGTGTGAACCAAAAGTTGGCAGCTTTTAAGTGTTCGCCCCAAAACCTGACATTTTCTAAAGATAAAAACTCCAAACAACTTGAATTTGTCACCCTCCAGTCTGTTACCTGAGACAAGTCTCTGGAATGGATTTATGTTGTACGATGCATAGTACAACTTCCTGCTTGCACTGTTTTGTATGGTACAGGGTCACATCTCAAGTTACTCCCCTAACTTACCATGTGCAACAACACGGCTTGGCACACCTTCGAGTGCCCTGGCTAAATGTGCTTTGCCTGTGCACATCTGTCCGGGACATCCCAGGCTGCAGCTGCCTCCAAGTCACAGCCTGGACCCTACATGCAGAGATGTGCAGTAGTGTTTGTTCTGGCGAGTGTGTGACTGTGTACATGTGTAAGAGAGGCTCTCTGCTTTCGGAGGTGGCTCTCTGTGCCCCTGTGCAGTCAGTGTGCTTTCCGTCATCTTCTGTTTGCTCCATGTACCCTGGACTTGCAGTCCCCATGCCGGGGCACGGGAACTCCTGAGAATTGCACAAACACACTGCCCACATCAGAGTACAAACTTGTTTACACACAGCGCGTTAACTCTGGCTATGGGTGTACATGCCTCGTGTGCGATGCTATCAGCCGTATTCCTGTGCGTCCCCCTGTGAGGCTCCTCGCAGCTAAATGCCCACAAGTCCAAGCGCAGTCCAGCCTGACGGTGTGGCCAAAAGGCTTCCCATCCCTCCAGGCACTGCTTGGAGGCAGTGCGAGGCTCAACAGAGCCCAGGCAGCGCGGACAGCCACTCTTTACAGGGATCCCCGGCACAGCAACTCTCCCAGCGCTCCGGCTCGGCTACGAAAGCGAGCATCGGCACAAGGTGCTCGGCGAGACTTCGAATGCGGGACAGCCCGCTCGGCCCCGGGGCAGCACCCTGCCCCTCCGCCTGCCCCCAGCTCGCCCCTTCCTCCCCGCGGGGCCCGGCTGCCCCCCGCACCGCTCCCGACGCGGCTGCCGGGGATCCCCCGGCGCAGGGGCGACCGCGACACTCCCCCCCCGCCGCTGCTTACCTGGGGTCGGGATCCGCGCCCGCCCTCAGTGCGCGCCGCCCGGCAGCGCCCGCCGGCGGCCGCGGGGCGCTGCCGAAACCATCGCCGCGGGGCTGCCGGGACTCCCGCTCCCTCCGCGGCTCCGAGCGCCTCTCCTCGCCCCGGGGCGGGCCGGCCGCGCCGGGTCTGCCCGTCCGCGCCTGGGCGAACAAGGCTGCGCGGGCGGCTCCGCGCTCCGGGCAGCTCCGAGCTCCGGGCAGCTCCGCGCCGCGGCCCCGGCGGCCGCTCCCGGTGCGGCTGGAAAGGCGGAGAGCAAGAGCAGGAGCAGGAGCAGGAGCAGGAGCAGGAGCAGGAGCAGGAGGAGGAGGAGGAGGAGGAGGAAGAGGAGAGGGAGAGGAGCAGCGAGGAGGAGGAGAGCGGAGGGAGGGGGTAGGAGAGCAGGAAGGAAGTTGTGAGCCTGTCTGGGGTTGAACTCAGCGGAACAAGTTTTTTTTTTTTTT